CTGTCTTCAAGCAGTGCTTGGTTTCTAGAAATTATACATTGGCATATACATGACTAGTTTGCCATTGCTTTCTTCCAAAACCATTTTTCAGCTGTCCATTCTCACCTACAGCCCTAGAAGATTCCAATTAATCAGATAGCAAGCAATCTCTTTAGATGTGTAGACATACTGATGCCCTTATAAAATGCTTCCTCAGAAAGATTTGCTCTTCATTCCCATGGCAAGATCTGATTCAGACTCTAATGTTGACTGTTTAATAGTTTAATTCAGAGAACAAAAAAAAAAAAGACTTAATTGTTTACAAAAAATGATGTTTGCATTGGCTTAATAAATATACTATATGATTTTCTAACAGGTTATTTTTAACTTTCTTTCATATGGACAATACAGTTCCCTTTTAGTTTTGTTCTCAGTATTGCATTCTTGTGGTCACCTAGCATATTTTAAGAGGTTCAGGGCATCAAAAAATTGGATAATTATACAAAGTGGAAAGGTGTGTCACACACCTGGGCAGACCTAAATCTTAATGAAACTATAATTTTTTTGCTGGAACTAATGGACAGATGGAAAGAAAAAGACTTATGAAAAATTGTTTTTGCACATGGTAACTGCAGCAAATTTATTATATGCACAAAGATTGAAAAACTCTGAAGTATCCACAACAGAGGAATGGTTGGTAAAAATGAGAGAATTTGTACAGATGGCAAAATTGACTTGTTTAATTAAAGGCAAAAACCATTATTTTTAGTGACTAAAAACGTATTGTGGGACTTTTTACTGAAAATACTGTGGGGGAAGTAAATTAGTGATTTATGGGTTTGAGAATTACAGAGAGTAGAACATAGAAAGAAAGATGCCATGATACAATCTTAGAGAAAGGATAAAACATAAATGCATATATCATTGCTGTAAAAAAGATCAGAAGTTGCTCCTTTATACTTTTTTCCTCCTTTTCTGTATTTTCCTTAGTTACCTATTACTTTTCTTTTTCTTTAAATGTGTATTGATTTGGAAAATAATCAACAATTTTTTAAAAAAAAGTAATGCTAAAATATAAGTTTCACTTTGAGTGTGTTTCCTATCACAAAATACTAGGGGACCAGCCAGCCAATGTTTTTAATCTTTGACCTATCCTAATAAGATTTAGCCCTGCATGATCTCAGACCAGAAGATTTCATAACCTCTGCTAACTCAGCATTCAAGCCAGGCATTAATGAGATCTTTTAAATGCAAAACATGACCTGTACCACTGAATTATGTATGGCCTTTTTCACAGCTTCATGGGTGTCTGAGGTAGGCATTCCATGGATGTAACCGATTTCTTTCCCATCTTGTTCCATCTTCACCTGGTTATAACTTCTCTTCATCAGAACCTTATATATTCTACACCCTCTGCCCCACCCAATTTCTGTTCAAAGAACAATGACTCTCAAGCAATGGCCTGAATAACACAGAGGCCTCCATGCCCCTTTGAAAAGCCAGATGATCACTATTCAGTATTGCTGTTTCTCTTTTTAGCAACACAATAGCACCAAAGCCCCCTCTGGCAGAAGGCGCTTTCTGGAAACTGTGCACATCAGATTTCTCCCTTCTCTTCGCTTCATCAAACTTAGGAATAAACATGTTTTGGAACATTTTAATTGAATTGCTTGGGCTGTATTTTTGATGCTTGAAGTGTTTTCAGTCTTAGAACATTTACTTCTTATTTTCTAAACCTCCCTCCCTCCCTCTCTTTCCCTCTCTCTTTCTCTCCCTCCCTCCCTCTCTCCTCTCAATCTTTTGGGCATCATTGCAAGCCTATAGAGCACTCCTCCTTTCCACATCAAAAACCAATTGGTTTCGCAGTCAAATCTTATTTGGGGTTGGCAATGGGACAGCATCTTCCATGACACCTAAAAGCAGCCAGCTGGTTTACCAAGTCGAGGGCAGCAGATTGCAGCACACACAGCTATGCCTTCAATCCCTTACAACCACTCCTTGCCCTTTGGCATCTACTTCAGGCAGCCGACTCATCCTTCTAATTGCAAGACCATCCCTAAGCGGATACACATTTTATTGACTCTGCTATACAGAAGCCCTGCCAGAATTAAGAATATATTCACTACTGGGGGGATTACTTTCAGTGATGGGATTCAATTGTTTTTACTACCGGTTCTGTGGGCGTGGCTTGGTGGGAGTGGCAGGGGAAGGATACTGTAAAATCTCCAGTCAGAGGTGGTATTTGCCGGTTCTCCAAACTACTCAAAATTTCTGCGACTGGTTCTCCAGAACTGGTCAGAACCTGTTGAATACCACCTTTGGTTACTTTCCAATTTACCCCTCTTGAGTGTGGAAGGGAGGGAGGAAGGGAGAGAGAGAAGGAAGGAAGGAAGGAAGGAAGGAAGGAAGGAAGGAAGGAAGGAAGGAAGGAAGGAAGGAAGTCTTTTGCTAACTAAAAGAAAATAAAACAGCATGACAACATGGCACTGATTCTGGAGTCTTGTGAGGCTCCAGGATCCCAAGGAACTGGTGTTGCAATCCCAGTTACAGATGAGCTCTTCCCCTACTTTTCTCCCTCCCCATTCACATTCGCAAACAGGCAGAAGGGCACCTTCAAAGATTATGCTCAGCACTGAGGGAAACATATTCCTCTGTTGGAAATTGCCCGAGGAAACAGGTAGAAGAGATTGTAGACTCATTTTAAAAACTGGGTTGCTAGGGCTGAGAAACCACACCCTCCTTTCCTCACTTATATGCCTGAGGCTCTCTCCACCTCTATTGCCATCTACTTTTCATATATAAACTCTGGGTTTACTACAATGCTCATAACACTTTTCCCCTTTGGGGGATAACTTCAGACCAGTTGTGTTTGGATACTCTGTTAGCCATGAGAACTTAAGGCCGAGCACTTGCAAACCAGGTAAAGCTTAGTCGGTTTGAACCTGGAGATGTTTTGCACATAAGCATGCTTGACAAACCCAGAACACTTATGCTTTGATGTGTTTTATGAATGGCACATTAAAAGCATTGCATCAACAAAAGCCTTACAGTAAATGTTGGTAGAAGTCTGCTGTGTTTGAGGACTGTAACCTTCAGGGCGAACTCGTGATCTTGAGGACATGACTTCTCTCTGAGCGCCTCATTGCTCATCACTTTTTCTATAGAGCCATGCATAATCCTTCCCCAGCTACACTTTAAATTACAGGACCTAAACACAACGCATTAGATTCCATTATATGTATCACTTGTTCCCTGTCTCCATGCCACCTTTTCTCTTAAACATGAGGTTCTTTGGGATAGAATTCCAAATTGTTTTTTCCACTGAACCTGCAAAGTACTTGGGGGTATATTGATATTTCAGCATGATGTATAAATGTATCCGTAAATCATAGTTACAAGAAGGCTTTCACTCGAAGGACTTCCCCTTGAGCAAATGATTATAAAGGATAAATGAGAACCTTCTTTATGCCCTCTTTGCAGTCACTTCAAGAGAGAGACTTCTGAGCAAAGTCAAAGGGGCTTGCTGCTTTTTCTAGCCTGTCTTTCAAAGCTATAGTATAAAGTTACATATCGATGGAATCAAAGCTGTTATTTCTTGGGCGGAAATATTTATTCCTGGGAATAAATATCTAGGGAGAGAGAGAAAGTTAGCCATTAAAAAAATAATTGTGAAAGGACAAGTGTTAAATCTTTCCCCAGGAGCTCGTTTTCAGTATAAAAATGTGTCCCTGCAGGTTCTATTAGCATTTAAAAAGAGCGAACATCCTTCAACGAATCTTTGCCTTTCAGCCTAATTTCCTTCCCAGAAGAGATGTGAAAGGAAGGTGATCCTCTTCTCCCCACCTTCGTTTTCTGGGAGGAAAAATCGGTGGGAATTTGGTAGCCTTTTGAAGTTTTGCTGCTGGATTTGTGCTGATCTGGATACCCGCCCCTTCATCCACCCGCATCCCGTTCTTCTGCCATAAGATATGCTAAAGTGCTAAAGTGCTTACTCTGCACGAAGAGAAAGCGACCAATCATTTCTGAAGCCGTGTGAAAATGTTCCTCCTTTATCCCCTATCTCTTTACTCTTCTGAGAATCCAAAAGAAGGAAAGTGGAATCAGAAGGTAGGACTTCAGAGGTAGGACTTTTTTCATTGCCTGAGTCTCAGAATCCCAAATTAGCTCTTTCGCTTTCCAACCGGGGCGCTTCCACCCCGCTTCCGCTGAGAGCCACAAAGAAAGGAGCTGGATGGGAGAGCCCACTCGCAGAAGCGCCACACCCGCTCTCCGGATCGGGGAAGCCTTTTGCCACATTCCGCCCCCACTCAAGACTCTAATCGCCGTCCCCAGATTCCTTCTTCACGTCTTCCTCTCCCGCGCGGATTTCTGTTCTGGGGGAATCCCAACCATCAGAAGCAAGGTGTGGTAGGCGGAGAGGGCGAGAGCGCGGGCTCCAGCGCTGTCCCCTCTATAGCTCTAAGAATTACCCACTCGGTCTACACAGTCTGCACAGTTTGTATTTGTTATTCAATCTGCACAGTTCAGTCTGACAACACCATCGTTACCATGTCATCATTATACCGGACTGGAGCACATCAAAAGTTCACTCCAAATCTTCTCCCCATGCCAGGCTGATGCCTCGACTGATACCTTCTGCTCTCGCGAAGGTTCACTCGTGACGTACGCGAGCGCATCCCAACCTTCCCACGCCTTCCCATGCCCCGTGGACAGCCGTGACCGCCTAGGCCCCCTTTTCCTGCGCCCTAAATACCCTCTTCCACCCCAAATCATCTTAGACAACATCCTGATATTCACCGGTCCAGGTTTCCCTCTCCTTACCCACCCACCCACTCCGGAAAAAAAGAAAAAAAGCCGCGAACTTGCCCCCGTCCCAATTTTGCCTTCTTCGAGATGGAGCGGCGCTGGCGCGGAAAAGCGGGGTCGCGTGCCCTCCATTCTCCCACCCGTTCCCTAATGCCTCCCAGCGTGTCACGCTCCGTCGGTCCCCGGCTGGTTCTCTGCTGGCACGGTCCACTCACCCCGGAAAGCAGCAGCAAGCCCCATAGCAAGATCGCCGTCTTCTGCATGTTCGTCTGAGGTAAAACAGGGCGCAGGAAAGGAAGATGCAGCCGGGAGATGAGGGGAGGCAGGAGGCTTCTTAAACACCCCCTCCCCAAGGGGCGTCTCGGGATGAGGGCGGGAGGGGAGAAGAAGAGCGTCGGTGGCGACGGAGGCAGCGCTAGTAACTGAGGGAGTTGGACAGCACCTGCTTTCTGTAACTGTTAAGCTCGGCCCCCTTTTTTTAAATTAGTATTAAAACGATCGATGTTCTCCTCCCACTGGTTGGGTGGTTTAAGGAGCGTACAAATAACCAAGACATGACAACTCCTCCTTCTTTCAGGCCCCCAGGAAGAGCATATCAAAGAAAATCACTTGGTTCATCTTTCTCACCCATAAAACTTTTTTTTTTTTTAATTATCCTGAAAGTTGAGAAAAGATGTTGAGGAAAGTTGTTAAAATCCTCAGTGGTGAAGTTATTTTAGTTAGATAACTTCCAGGGATTCCACCAGTGAATGGAAAGCAGAGGTGGGGCCCAAGTACTAGAAGCCTTGACCACTTTTGGGTTCTTGCTGTTTCTTTGCCCTTTTCCTTCCTTCCTTCCTTCCTTCCTTCCTTCCTTCCTTCCTTCCTTCCTTCCTTCCTTCCTTCCTTCCTTCCTTCCTTCCCTCCCTCCTTCCTTCCTTCCCTCCTTCCTTCCCTCCTTCCTTCCTTCCTTCCTTCCTTCCCTCCTTCCTTCCTTCCCTCCCTCCTTCCTTCCTTCCTTCCTTCCTTCCTTCCCTCCCTCCCTCCTTCCTTCCCTCCTTCCTTCCTTCCTTCCCTCCTTCCCTCCTTCCCTCCCTCCCTCCCTCCCTCCCTCCTTCCTTCCTTCCTTCCTTCCTTCCTTCCTTCCTTCCCTCCTTCCTCCCCCTGCAAAATCTGCTAAAAAAGAAAATCTGGCCATGGAAGGAAGGCTTTAGGGAATGGTGCTCTCTCTCTTTGGAAGCACCCCATGCCATCTTATAATCTTGCATTTCTTTTATCTTTTTTTCTAATCAGATTCCACTGAGCTGAAGAGACAAATGCAAGTAGAGAGTAAATCTAACCAGGAAAAAGGTAAGCTGGCCAACTAACCAGCAGTCAAATGTAGTGTGGGATGTATGATCCATAGAAGTCATCCAGATGGCTATAAATTATCTGGTGCCATTATTTTAATGTTATGCCCCAGCCTTGCAAATCCCTTGGCCTCCAGGTGGATTGACCGTGCTGGCTGAAATTTACAGGAGTTGTATTCCAATCTATCTGGAGTAGTCAAGTTGGGCTAGACTGATATCTAGGGCTAGGCTAGATATTTTGATAAGAAGCAAAATCAGATTGACACTTCAGGGCAAAATGGAATACAATTAAATCTGATGTTTAGGACACACTTCACTTAGATTTTTTTCTGTACAGCCTATATAAATTTCCATTTTTTCAACATGTGTATCAGCTCATGGAATAGATTATCAGATGATTATACACACACACACACACACACACACACACATGCTATATATATAAATGCATATTACATCATTTCAAAGAGGAAAAAATAAAGCTAATCATAACAAGATATAGTGAACAAGGAAAGACCTGCTTGTATGTTGCAGCTAAACTAAAACTGCTAGCAAGTGGAGTTCATTTATAATTTAAATTATGCATATGAGGAATCAAAGTGGACTTTCTTCCTGGAAAATCTCTAGGAATCCATGGCTTGATGTCACAGATCAATGTGGTCTGAATATTTATACTGTTTCATAGGAAAAACAGCCTTACTTTTAAATCTTCCTTCCTTCCTTTCCTTCCTTCTTTCCTTTCCTTCCTTCCTTCCTTCCTTCCTTCC